CCTTCCCTAACCTCTGCTCTTCCCTTCCCCCTCCCCCTCCACTCCCTCCCTCCTTCCTCCCGTCCCTCGCCTCGCATACGCGCTTGACACGTCTTCTCTTTCTTTCATCCCCACACACAGCCGCGGACATGGCGAGCAAGCCGATTGGCTGGCTGCTGCCGAGGCCCCGCCTCCTGCACCACGTCGTCGAGGACTTTCTCACCGATTGGACGGCGCTATCGTCGCACGTCGCCCCGCTGCGGCATTTCGTCGACGACGCGCTGCAGGTGGACACCAGGTGGCGCTTCACGGATGAGTGCTTCGCGCTGCGTCTGACGCACGCCTCGCTGCCGTACGCCTGCGAAGAGTTCTACATGGCGGGGCGCGGCCTGGTGCCGACGACGAAGCATCAGCGCCACCTGGCGAGCCAGGAGTACGCGCTCAGCGAGTGACGTCGCAGAGAGGAGTATGAGGCGTTGGCGTCTCGTTGAACAAGTGAACGTCCGACGTCGTATTATGGTAGGCACAATGCCGCGCGTCGTCTCGGCGAACAAGAGAACGTCGCGAATCATCTTGGTGAACAAGAGAGCATCACGGCACGACGTGTCGCCAGATGCAGCTTCGCGATTGGCTAGTCGTGTGAATGAATTACTTACCCCATTTTAAAGAGTTCTATGTTTTTTGATTGTTTAACCGTAAATGTATAATATATATATATGGCTATAAATAATATATAATATATTCAATATGTGGTTTCCAAAGCAGCTATTGTATAGTATACATATATACATGTATTTGTGTGCGATGCCTATTGTGTATGAGTTATTTAGAAGAACCATTACTTATCAATCCTTGACTATTGCAGGCTTGCAATGAGTCTAATAGGCAGCAGCCACCGACTAGTACAGTTTACACACTAGTTCCCACATTAGATGGCGCTGCTAGAGAATTAAATTATCACCAGTAGATGAAATGTGAAAATTTATGTGATATTATTTCCTCAGCGATGTGTATGATAAAAGAATCACGGTTTGCAGATTTCGGACTAAATCGAAATTCAAAACATCATCCTAATACATATTATCAGGAGTGTATAATATAGAGATATCTCTATAATAATATCTCTATATTACACTCCTGAGTCCTGATATTATCTTACAAAGGTATGTGATGACAGGGTGTTGTATACAAATATTTATGTATACACATGAATGTGGATATGTACTCATCATATGTGATGGTATGTCCGTAAAAGTGACAAATATGTTTTCATAGTCTTGACCACGAAGCTAGATCTGTCACGGTGTCTCATTACCTCCGCCCAACAGAGTTGGAGGAGGTTATGTTTTCGCTCTCGTGTGTTTTCTCTCTCTCTCTCTCTCTCTCTCTCTCTCTCTCTCTCTCGTTTGTGCGCGTTCTCTATCTCTCTCATCTGCCACTTGCTTTTTATCGCTTTCTTTCACGCTCTCTCCCTCTGTGTTGCGCGCACTCTATCTAGCTAGCTTAGTCATGTCGGTTGCTACGAACGCAAACATACACATCATAGAATCGGATACATGCACCCGGGGGCGACACTATAGTTGCTAAAAGTTCTAGGCCATGTTCGATATCACTGACGCACTCAACGTGGTTCGTAAACGACCGCGACAAAGCACCTGTTTGTTGTTATCTGACATATCACTGTTTCAAACGTATAAAGAGCCCTTTGTATGTCTAAAATGGGCGACGCGTCGTCTACTCGGGTAACATGTAATACGGACGAATAATATTTAGTATATATAGTATATTAGTAATATACGTATCACACTACAACTATCACTCTTTGATGCACGAAATTGTGATACAAATAATATTTGTATGGGTATACAAATATCACTCTTTGATATAAGAAAAGGTTAATAAATATGATATTTACCAGCGTATACAAATATCACTATTCGATATCAGATAAGGATAATACAAATAACATTTTAAAAGGTATACAAAATTTAATATCTCTATTCGACCTAACAAGAGTTTTTGCTGTCCTATATATATATATATATATAATTATATATATGGCTCACAATTACTGCTCAACGAATAGAATCACTTTTGTGTGCACCTTACCTGACCACACCCACGCACGCGCGTCCGAAAGATGGAGAGAGAGAAAGAAAAAGTAAGCGAGAGAGAGAGAGCAAAAGAAAGAGAGCGAGACAGCGAGATAGAGAGAGAGGGGGAATTAAAGCGCGAGAGAGAAGACGAGTGAGAGAGCGAAAGAGAGCGAGAGCGTGCGTGGGAGAGAGCGAGAGCGAGCGAGAGAGAAACAGATAAAAACACTGCGTAGGCCGAAGTAGCGGTGCGATAAATTAGGTGAGATATTACATGAGATAAATAATATTGAATAATATGAGAGAACATTCAGCCGACAGCTCTCAGTGATTCACTCAGACATGTCGGCCTCGAATCCTCCTGCTCTCTCTCTCTCTCTCTCTCTCTCTCTCTCTCTCTCTCTCTCTCTCTCTCTCTCTCTCTCTCTCAACCCCCCCGCTCTCTCTCTCTCTCTCTCTCTCTCTCTTCATCGAAATATATAGAGACACCTATAGAGTCTACCTAGTATATTATTTCTGTGGGTTAAACCTACTGCGCAGCAGCAGTGTCACGAATCTCGCTATCAGAGGGGAATCATGTTAATGATATGATGTGATATGATATCATATCATATGATGATGTATGTGTATGTTGAACTAATACGTTCAACCAACGTAACGTTGCGTGTGTACGTTTGATGCCCCTCTCTTCCTCCCCGGGGGAAGATAACATATCTAGATAGGTTACTTATCGTTTACTGCGAGAGAGTAACTGGGAATGAACGCAGACGTTGTTGGTGTTGTAAATGTTGTTGTTGTTGAAAACTTTGTTGTCGCAGACGTTGTTGTTGCTGTTGGTGTTCATGAGAATGATGATGATGATGATGTTGTTGATGTTGATAGATGTTGCATCGATACGTGATATAAATATAGGAGCGGCAACAGCCGATTCTAGTTTAATTTCGATACACGTACTCTTGTCTTGTTCATTTACACGATTTGTTGTAGGTGATAAACAACAAACTAGGGTGAACGTTGTAACTATGGAAACAGAACCATGTACCCATGGCAACCGACTCTGTGGGCGTGTATCACAAGTTTTGTAGAAGTAAAAGACAAATCTAATATAAGTTAAATAAGGAACGCAACGAAGAAAACTGGGAAACGCTGAAAATGCCTGCTGTGCAAAAACCTAAACGAATATCCACTGCCTATATATTTGTCTGTGGAGTTAATTCGTCGGAAATATAGAACGAAGGGTTGGATGGCTACATCCATTTATCCAGAACCGTCTACTAAATTACTATCGGAAGCAAACGCGTGAGAGGAATCTGTCAGATGCGTACAATAGTGGTGCTGACAACCCCGAAAGCGCGAGGGAGAAAACGAGAAAGAACCAGAAAATGTAGAGATATGAGCAAAACTTTCTTCAAGCGAGTGGACGAACAGACGTACGGAGGAATAGACGGGCGGATGGATATACGGACGACGCACCGAGGAAATGGAGGAAAGGACGGACTGATGGAGGGATTGACGCGTAAACAGACGGACGAGTGGAGCGGCACGTCATGACGTCACGGCTCACTGCCTCTCCTCGTCTGTGACCCACTACCTAGCCTCTTACCGCGAGAGGTCGCTGTTACTGCAGGAGGAACTTAAATTTTACCGACAGACAATTTCATCCCGGAGAAAGAGGTGAGTAAAGATATATATATATATACGGCTATTCGTTAAGAGATCGTGATTCTTCTACACGCTGGCGTTATACCGAATGTCATTTCCTCTTTCACTGTAATGCCAATGCACAGTAATACTTCGATACTGCACATAATATTCGTTACTTAGTTAGCAGAGGTATATAATATATATGTATAGATAAACCGAGATTATTAGCTGACATGCATTCACTTATACACACGAGTACGGATCAACGAGAAGGACAACAACATTATCAGAGCGTCTTCTTCTAGCGTGTATATACCTCGCTATAATATGCATGTGCAATGTCCCCAATCAACCAACAAATAAAACTCTATAGTTCGAAGAAAGTTGAGGCCCCATATATAGCACCAGAGTAACATATATTTATACGTTCTCGCGTATGTGTAGGGTAGAATATTTTAATGGCACCGGAGCCTTCTTGGCTGTGAGTAGCTAAGCAAGGTAGCTACCCACCTGTGTTGTAGCGCCGTGCAGGCACACGTACAGTCGATCCCCGAGTTATAAACGACACACACACACACACCCCGCCGGGCGGTTGTTCTGCATGAAGGAACATACCGCACACGCGCCGCGTGCGTGTGTGTGTGTGTGTGTGTGTGTGTCGCGCGCGCGCGTGTGTATGCGGGGC